GTTACGACCAACTCGGGATACGCCCAGAGTCACGGAACGCATTAAGTTCGTATCCCGAGGTACCACTGTACTTGTTGTGATAAAGGTTGGAAGTCACTTCTTTATATATTTTTCTTTTTCTTTTTCTGTTTCTTCTTCCTTTTTCTTTTTTCCTGCACATTTTATTCTTTTTTTCCATTCTCTTCTCTCTCTCTCTTAAGTTTAGTTTGTATTAGTTTTACTATTGTAATTAAAATTCTTAATAAAAAATTATATTCAGAATTTTAGGAAGTTTTGAAGAGGGAGGGAATGGCATAGTGGCCACAATTCACTGTATCTGCAAAGGAGGGGGGACAATTGATTAACATACATTTTGATGCCATGACACAAAAATAGTGACTTATATACTTGCATCAGACATCAAGATGCCAGTAGCCAGGGCCAGGATCTCCATTAGGATGTTACCATGTGCATCATAATTTTGATGTAAGTTTGGTTTGCTGCAGATGCCTAGCCACTATTACTGAAAACCTATTGCTGGATTTTGAAAAAGGAGCTAAGTCACGGGATTTATTTTCTCAATGACTCTGGTGTATGAACTCTCTCTTTCATTAACGGGTAGCTCACAGATTACAGCATGAATCATCATGTATGGATTCTGTATAGACAGAATTCCTGGATATTTGAAAGGCAACGCTTACAAGCCATCATTGTATGGTTCTGCCCATGATCATTCAGTAGAAGTAGTAGTTACCATGCTAGGATTAGTCATGACTTCTCTGAGAACTTTGGACATATAGATTATATAGGCTTTTGGCAGTTGCCTTCAGACCTGGGCACTGGATGGAACCTGCGTTGGTTGCTCTCATAGATGACCTTACGTAGAATTTGGATGGAGAGAGCATGACTACCCTTGTCCTTCCAGATCTTTCTGCAGTTTTTGATACTGTTGGCCACAGTATTTTCTGGAAAATACTTCAAAGGTTGGGAGTTGGGGCATGGTGTTACCGTAATTCCATGAGTAAATGCATTCATACGATGGTTGCATGGAAAGAGGTCAAATCCATTGGCATTTCAATATGGAATGTATTAAGGCTCAATCCTCTTCTTTATTTTGTTTAATATTTATATGAAATTACTGGGAGAGATCATCCACAGGTTTGGGGTAAGATACCATCATTGTGCAGAAGGTGCTCACTTATTTCACTTTGTCCCAGCTTTGTTGGGAGATATAGTGGAAATCATGACCCGCTGTCTGGAGACTGTCAGTGTCTGGATGGGGAAAAACAGGCTCAGATTCAACCTAAACAAGATGGGATGGCTATTGATTTGGAATCTGACTAATTTCAGGACTTCATAATATTTGGCTCTTGATGGGGTTGCACTCCCCCAAAAAGAGGAGACTTGCAATCTGGGAGTCCTGGACTCATGGCTCCTACTCAAAATATAGATGGATACCATGACCAGAAAGGCTTTTGCATAGTTACAGCTGCTGTGTCAGTTGCAGTCTTACCTGGAACATGATGCACTGAAGGCAGCCATTCATGCCCTTGTCATCTTTTGATTAGATTACTGTGACTTACTCTACATGGGCTGCTATTGAAGATCATCTGGAAACTTTAACTGGTCCAGAATGAGTGGTACATATGCTTAGTAGTTTGTCTTGATCCTGCCATATTATACCTTTGCTGCATGAACTGCATTGGCTACTAGGAAGTCTCTGAGTGCAATTCATGTTACAGTTGCTACCTATAACATCCTATGTGGCTCAGAGCCTGGGTATTTTAGAGACTGCCTTTCCCCATTAGTTTCTGCCATCCTTCTTGATAATAAGGAAGTGCCTGCTGAGGTTTCCCACCTATCAGGAGGTACAATGTGAGGGGCCCAATGACAAGGATTCTTTGTAGTAGTCCCCCTTCTCTGGAACAGCTTGCCCCCTAAAGCACATCCAGCCCCCTCCCACACGGCTTTCCAGAAGCAGGATAAAATGTAGCTGTTCCAGAAAGACCTTCGGGGCCCTATTAAACCATTTTAGCGGATTACTTTTAATATTAAATTGGAAAATTAGGTTATGGATTTTATTATTTTAAGAAATAATAATATTGTTTTTTTTTATATTTTATTTTTACATTGTAAATTTTGGAAGCCATCTAAAGTCCAGGTTTCAGGCAATAAATAAATTGCATTAATCAATACAGAAATACTGAAATGAAACATAGATTTAAGAGTGTTCTAGTAAAACACCATCCTTTACTCTCCTGTGTAAAGGAAGGCTTTAAAGTAGAATCATTGATTCTCCTTGTCTGATGGTTTGATAGCTGTAAGTGAAAAATATTTCAGCCAAAATAGTAAAATAATGCCTGATTCCAAATATGTTGCAATGGATATTTGTTTGCAATATAGCATACTGCTGAAAGTAACCTTAGTGAATTATTTGTTAAAGTTAATTGATGTTAATTAACTAGAATGAATACAGAGATTTAGTGGACCAAAAGCTTTCTGGATGTCACTCTGTTAACTCAGTTCTCACCAATGATCCATTGGTGGAAAATGTAATGCATTTGATGATACTAATTTTAAAAATGCTGGTGCTTTGAGGAAGTGCTCCAGTTGTATGAATTAAAGGTTTCATCCGCTTTAGCAACCTCTTAGTATGCAATATAGGGTATGGTGAAATAATGAATGCACAGGAAAAAAATAATGAGTAGACAACAGAGATCTCAAATAATTTATTGAAGCATATGCTGCGGTTCCCAAAACTTTCAATAAAACAACATTTTCTTGCATTTGCTTTCTCGAAATGTTTTTCAGATGTTAGAGTTAAGCAACAGAAAACAAGTATGTCTGTGTGTCCAATTTTTCTTTCCAGAGATTTTTCCTCACTAATTTCAGGTTTTTCATTGCAACAATCAGTCCAGTGGGGGGGGGGGGGGGGGGCGGGAGAGCTGGAATTCAAACATTTGGACTAAGTTGCAAAAATATAACTAAGACTTTTGGCATGGGTGGGATTGCATACAGGTGGGTGATTTCTGTCTATATCATTGGACCGTGTCACTTTTTTGTGAGTTTATCAATAATACGGTTCCCTTTCTGTGTAGCTATACTGCAATTTAAAACTCAAATGATGTCCTTCAAATCAAATATGAATGTTGATGGTGATTATGAATTTTGTCCTATAACAAGTATGGTCTTATGAATTATGCTGTAATGTGATCTGATACATTTAAAGATGTTCTTCATAATATATGGAGAATATAAAATATGGAAGACAGCATATGATCAGGAACAGAAATTTAAAAAAAATCTAATTCCTTAAGGAATCCAGATTACAGTCTAATGAAGCTCATGCCCTAATAAGTAAGGTTTTGTTGCAAAAATTGAAGACAGCTATATTTCTGGAAAATATTACAAGAAAGTGATGTTCTGTTGTTCAGGTATCACCACAGTATTAACCATGACAACTCTGAGCACCATTGCAAGAAATTCCTTGCCCCGTGTTTCCTATGTCACTGCGATGGACCTCTTTGTGACCGTATGCTTCCTGTTTGTCTTTGCCGCTTTGATGGAGTACGCAACCCTCAACTACTACTCAAGTTGCAGGAAGCCACACTGTACAAAAAAGAAAAAGTCGGTAAGATAAAGTCCTATTGGGAATGGGACACAATTCTTCTCCATTGGTAATCAAGTGCATTTAGACCTTAAATAAAGACTTTAGCTAATGCTGTACAATAAGAGGCGTTTGCTGCAAATGTAAGAGTCCTATGTACTAGAAATGCACAGAATTAGATACATATAAATTGCTGTTCACCATATTTATTTAAGTATTTTTTTATTGTATGCCACCCAGAGTCATGTTTGTGAGATGGGCAACTATATAAGTATGATTGATTGATTGATTGATTGATTGATTGATTGATTGATTGATACTTCTAGTATTTTAGTGCACAATACAGGAATTCAGGGATCTGTATGTCTAATGTAAGATAAGCATGCCTAATAAATTATTGGATTAATTATAACTAATTCAGTAATTGGGTTAATTAGAACAATGACAGTGGTTCATCCAGAGTGACCAGGCTCTTATTAACTGTTCAGTCATGCCTCTGCTGTCAATTGTACATTTGATCTCTACTATGATTTTACTCTTTGGTTCCCAACATAAAGCCCAACTGCTGAAAACAATTGCACTGCTTTGAAGTGGAATGCATGCAAAAATTTAAGCTGTAAATAATATTAATATATACTGTTGGAAGACCTGAAAGACCAGGTTAAGGATAGATTGTCATGGAGAAAATGTATCTATGTGGTTGCTGAGTCAACAATGACTTGACGGCACATCATCAACCAATCAATCAATGTTAACATAGTTTAAAGGCAAAGAAAATATTTAAAAAGTGGAAAAAACAAATTCCTGACTTTGCCCATATATGTATAGCCCTGCACATCTCCATAATTTTCCTGCTTGCTGCAACCATCCCACCTCTATAAAACATTACTGTGAGATATATGGCATCCACCAAAGATTGCTCACATCTGACCCTAAACAAGGTTCAGCAGACTATTAATTGCAAGTTTGATAATAAATAAATAAATAGTGATGCTTATACATGTAGGAATGATCAGGCTATTAAAGCACCATAATACAACACTGCAAAATGTAATAATTTTTCAGCTAACTAGAACATATAGTGCAAACCCATTTTTGTTTGTTTGTTTATTTGAACAAGTAGAATTTACTCCCATAGATCACTTCCCTTTTATCTTGATTTTTTAGAAACTAGTTGCTTTGTTTTAAATCTCAGAGAATATATTCATTTGTGTTCTGCAGGCAAGAAATCAGTATTTGAAATTCAATTTCAATTCACTTCTAATTGAAATCATCACAAGGGTTAGGCTTGGGATTGGGATTAGGGTTACAGAAAGATTAGTGGAGACTGCTTTTTCTCTTGTGGTGATTGCAGCTAGAACTGAAATATATAAAATAAAAGATGGAGCCTAATTGAAGGTCTCAGTTTAAATTAAGCATTTCCCAATGATATCCATGAAAAGGTAAATTGTATATGTTTTGTATCTTGCTATATAATGTGAATATTTATCAGAAATAAATAGGATTAAGTAAGAAAAATCTATCCATATTTACTCAGAAGTAAATTTTCAGAATGAATTGAATTACTCAAAGTAGACATGAGTAAAATGGTGCTGTTAAGTATTTATGGAATCTCTTATGATTTCCTTAATAATCGAAATATTAACAAAAACTTTATAATGTTTTATAACTTGTGTTCTTATACTTTACTTTTTATTTACTTTATTTGAGCTGCCTGATGTCAGTTTTGGTCACATGATGGTGAGTATGAATATTTTAAAAATTAAGATATTTTATTTGTAATGTCATATATTAAATACTTCATTATATTTTTAATGAAACAGCTGTTGTTATTACTTAGTCTTAAGGAACTAATCCATCAGAATGCATCTTAAACCTTTTCCTTAATTATAGAAAAAGAGTTTAGCATCTCAAAACATAATTCTCTGAATAAGACTTATTCACATTTAAGTAGCGCCATTCAAATCAACGGAACAATGACTGAGTTAAATCCCATTGATTTCACTGTGTCTATGCTTAGTCTGACTAAGTCTGAATGCAGGCCAGTATTGCTACTATGTGCCTATTAGGGCTGCTATATTTGGGCTTCAAAAATCTGGATGACCACTAGATGGCAGAAAAGAGTAAAAGAGCCCTGCTTTTGCTGCCCTCTGTGGCAACCTTAATATTTGCTATTCTACCAATCTTAAGATTCTACTTATTACTTTAGTCTAGCTATTCAGCTTTTAACTATGCAAAATGTATCATTCAATTAAACTTGTTGCTCACTGATTTTAAGAGCACTAACTTAACTCTTTCCCACTGGAAGATGTTCTGTCTAATATAAGTATTTAAGGGAAAGATCCAGGCTGTACGACTATCCGTGTTTACAAGGCAATAATCATACCCAGGACTGAACGAAATGGACCAAATAGCTGCACCCAACTCACCAATCCATGCCCAGATGGTGAGCTGGGATCAGCTATTTTTCTGCCCTCTTAAGCACTAGAATTCCACCCCAGGAGAGTTCAGAAGGAGAACGTGAAGTTTCTTCACTATTTCCCCGTCCCCCTTGCTAGTGCTTCAAGCTCCGTTGATGCCTTGCATAGGATGACTGTACTGTTAATATAATTTCAAAAGCTGTTGGCTCAGGATTGGTGGGGCGGTAGCATTTGGGGGAGAGCAAATGAATGACAATTGCCCGAAGAGTAGCAGCAGCCACTGCCACCATTACTGTTGCCAAACTCAGTAATTTTTTTCTCTTTTTTCCAACAGTCCCCCTCTAAATCACAAAAAGGCCTTCTATGCGTTGCAGACTCTTTCCACAGACGAAAAGGAACCCTTGGTTCAGGCCAGTCTAGATTCTAGATACTCGCCCCCACAGCCCAGTTCAAATAAATGAAATTGGGCACAGTGGTGTCTTGCGCAGAGGGAGGTCAAAATTGGCAAGATGTCAGGCATGTCATCACAATGCAAGCTCTGCCCTTTGCACCACTATGCCCGTGCCAAATTTTGATCCTGTGCAGGAGGATGGCTTTCCTGGGATGGTCTTGTTCCAGAGGGTAAATTCAAACATTCCTTGCAATAGAGATTGCTTACCCATGGAAACATACATCTTTACAACTTGCTGTATTTTCTTAGACAAGGCTTTGATCTAAAAGTATAAAATGGAGCCAGCAAAGAAATAAGTAAAAATTAGACTATAATGATAACCTCGATGTAGCCCCTTACCCCTAACCCCTTACCATTTCACACTGAGAAATAAACAAAATTGTCTTTGGGCTTTTCCCCACTGTTGAGTTCAAGTGCTACCTACAAATTCCTGATTCATCCAAACATTATTTCAGCACCATGTTTGCTTCAGAACTTTGCCCAGCCCCATCCTGGGTCTGTTTCCAGTCACTGCCAGTCACCTGATGTCAATGCAAGGGAATGTATGGCAAAGCCTAATTCACTTCAGACACTTTGAGGTTGCCCTTGGATGGAGGTAGAATAAGGGGCAAAATGCTTTCTTAACACCAGCACAGGTACAGGAAATCTGGCACACGTCTGTCTCACTTGTACCCTGAAACCAAGGTGAAGGAAACCTCATGGGAACACGGCAGAAAAAGGATGTTGTCAGGACATGTTTATTCCATAGTGATGTGGAAATGGGGAAAGCCCCTTTGAACCTGAGTTCCACCCAGAGGATGTAAGAGAATCCTTAGAGGATACAGAAAAAAATTGTGTTGGATACTCCATCTGCCAACACCTACTTCCACTCACCAAAATACTTTCCACACTTAGCTGCTTTGTATCATTGAAATAGGCAGGTGGGGGTTTTTTTGTTTTTGTTTTTTTGGCATGTAAAGTGTCACACGTAGGACAGCTGAACTACATGGTTTCTTTTCAAACCTGCATTAGGCCCAGGTAACTTTGTGGGAGACGGGCGGCTCTATAAATGTGACATGTAAATAAATAAATAAATAACTTCAGGCTGACATTCAAGACTTCTGTAGCTGCCACGGTACAGCCTCTTCCTCTCTTTTTTCTGCAGAATTATTCTGTGTTAGAGATGAGACCTCCCCCTACAGTCATCGCACTGAACAATGCCATGTACTGGCAAGAATTTGAAGACAATTGTATCTATGAGTGTCTGGATGGGAAAGACTGTCAGAGTTTTTTCTGCTGCTATGAAGAATGCAAATCAGGCTCCTGGAGGAAAGGACGGATACACATAGACATCTTAGAACTCGACTCTTATTCCAGAGTCTTTTTCCCCACATCATTCCTGCTCTTTAACCTGGTGTACTGGGTTGGATACCTCTATCTCTAGAACAATGAGGAAAACTGTGTTTTTCATACTTCTTAGGGATGGGGAATATATGGAAATACAGATCCTGAATGGTTTCATTGGAAAGCCTAAAGGGCACCTTACTTTTTCTCATCCAAGAAAAATAAGTTTTTATTTCTTGTTTTGTCTAAAAGAAAAAAAAAAGATAAAATGGTCACTTCACATCTGAGTTTTTTGCTAAGTACACGAGACACGATCATGTAACAAATGTTTATGTTAATTGTTCTTATACAATGGAGAAGTTGCTGTTTTCTTTGGGTTACAGATAACTATGTAGCATTCAGATAAGCAAGATAAGGAAGTTTTGAATTTTCATTCTTACATTTCTTCTGCCCTTTAAACTTGTTCTGGGAGCAAATCCTTATTGGTGCAGGTTCTCCACAACTTTACTTTGAGGAGAATTTGAGTTCAATGAAAAGTCACTTAAATTCATTTCATGGGATTCAGAATGTTGCCTCTGGTCTTGCGTTGAGATGAAAACACATGATTTCAAAACAACCTTAACATTTACTTTTCATAAAATTGTTGAATTAAGCATTCTTTTAATACAGAGTTGAATATTCCACATATTGATCAAATACTTCAAGAAACTACTTGATTTCTGGAATAACACTCTTGCAATATGATAAAGCTTAGTTTGCTTTTGGTACTGTGTAAGATGACTTACTATGTAATAGCAGTGGTAAGGTATGATTCATTCCAAGCTACCAGTTAATTTCCTCCATACTTTACTATTTGTTTTCACTTATATTTTTAGGGTGAAAAAACCCTATAGTTCCAGCCTGAATAAGATCTACTGTATCTGTGCTAACTAAAATCCATGTGCCTCAGTCACTGTTCTGTGTAGGTTAAATTGCACATCCTATTCTTGCACCTACCGACTTTTGAACTGGATTCTTCCATTTAAATGAGTGCAGAAGTGCTTGCTGTTAGTATATTCACACTAGTAAGCAATCTTTGGATTGGCACAACAGTGGCTTTTGTTCTTAGCAGATCAGTAGGAGCCTTAAAGATGCATATAGGATTTTCTTGGCAAGAAAATGAAATATTGGAAGTTCAGTTATAACCAGTAGAAGTTAAAAAATTTAGCAATGAGGAATCACTAGGACTTTTTTTTAACTAGGAGATTTTAAACTGGAAATGTATTTTGTACTTTTGGAACATATTTCAGATATTAAATTCCTGAAAATAATACATTCTTATGTTGTAAAATATTCATTATAGACAAGCCCAATTCCAGAAGGCTAATGTAAATGTTCAGTATTTATTTATCTATTTGATTATTTATTTGTTTGTTTCTCTTACCTATTGCAATCAATATGTCTACTGTTTAAAAAAAAAAGTTTGCTTTCCCCACCCTCTCTCAAACTCTAAGTATAGCAGTATTTTTAAAAGTGTAACATTGATACCATCAAATGCCTTTTTTTCCCATTGTCAACCTGAGGACTTGTTTTACTTGTTCCAAAATATTTATATTTAAATACTGTGCACACTTCATATTGTTCTATATAGTCTCATTTTCTCTTGAAATAGCAATGAAAAGAGATTAAAGTACAGGAGCACGATTAAACTTGGTATAAAGAGCTTATTCGTTCTAAGAAATGAATATTTAATATCAAAAGTATTGGCAGGAAAAGGGGAGTATTAAGGAAAGTATAATTGGTAGTGTGCTTTATGAGAAGAGGGTGTAAGTTTCAATTCTGTGCATCTTCACACAGAGTTGGGAAGAACTTCTGTCTGAACCACACAGAGATCTGGTGTTATCACAACATACTAGTTAGATAGACCAATGATTTGGCCTAATATAAAGTTGCTTCTACTGTCTGTAACAAATTCAGTTTTAGTAGGTAAGGCTCCAGAACTGTAAATGCTAATTCAGTTAGATTACTGGATTAAAAATGTACTAAATTTTACTAAAAGCTTTCCAAAAATATACTTACTTGTTTGTTTTAGACCAAAACAATTTTTTAAAAGTTCTTTAAAAACAATTTATTAACAGAGGTTGAAGTCTTTTGACTTAAATATGGATGTATGATTTTTTCCAGTTCATTTGCTCTCAATTTTCTTAAATCTGTAAGAACCAAAGAGCAAAAAAAATCTTCAGAAAGATGGATTTAATTTAAAGAATATGTAGTAAAAATCACACAAGGTACTATTACAAAAACAAAGAACTACAGTATTAAACTGATGGCATATGTAAATGTGAGAACCATATTAATAATTTTATGGCAAAAGATCCTGTAGACCCTCTGTCCAGTGAAGTTCAGTTGAGCTTACTACTTTTTGGTATCAGGACTGGACCTTATTTTTAGAATACTGCAATCCTGATCTATTTAAATTAACTGGAAACATGATGTGGAGGTAGAAAATTGCTGAGAATTGTCACCCTGTAGAGAAAATGGCATGCTTTATGTGCAATTTCATAACATATATAACCAGAACACTTATTTTATAGGACAGTACATGTATATTTTAGTGTCACTTTTCTATTGTATATCATCTAAATAAGACAACTGATAACAACCAAACAGAAAATAAAGTTGTACTCACAATCTTATCCCTCCCCCCTCCAAATCAAAGCAGTGATATTAATTTAGGCAAACTGTTTTGTACATGTCTTGGTTAGTGTGAATGATATAAAGATCTTCCTTTGTGATCTGTAAAATCAATTATGGACAAGTTGCACATAATCCATAGGCTAACCAGCCTTTTTGGGATTCAAAATACTTTGAAAAAAGTTTTCTTCCAAGGAGTGTTGGAAACTAGCAAATTCACTCTTTATTCGGTTTCAGAGGCAGAACAAATGCAGCTATCAGTTGTTGAGCAGTGCCAATCTAAATTTGTAGTCATACCCAGCCGGTGACATTCCTCATTTTCTGATTAGCTCATGGGTGGAATCCAGACAAGCATATCACAATACCATTGGTTGCATTGCAAGAGATTTGTATTTGCATAGCAATCAACTGAGTTACAACTCTTGTTCTTCAGCACAATCATAGCTCATTCTCCCCAGTTCCCCAAAATACTATTAGGGCAACAAGATCTGAGCTGAAAAACCCAGTGAACCACTAAATAGTAGTAAAGAGCTTGGGTTTTCTGCATGAATATGTAGTCATCCAGTGGACATCCAGAATTTTGCAATCCAGATCTGGTAGCCCTGATACTGCATAATTAAAGCATTCCATGATCTCAGATTTCCTGTTTGAATTAAAAGCTTAATGTAGGATATCATAATATGATAACTGCTATTCTGGATTACTATGAGAAAGTTCCTGTAGTCTTTCTTCCCAGTTTCACTAATTGAATATAAGTAGAATTTGCTACTGATTCCTTTGCTTACCTTTTGAGTTCCCGTGCTCAACCTCTCTCCCTATCCTTTATTTCTAGAAGCAGCTCGCTGTTCCGTGAACATTTTTTATGGTCTTCGACCCCTAACATGAATTATTCTTTTTTAGCAATAATGCATCTAGGAGACAAGTTTCAGAAAAGTAATCTATGAGCAAAGTGCTGTTATTTCACAAAAATGCAATTGATGCCAGTATTGTTTATTTTTATTGTCTTATGAAACACTTTTGCTTGAGGAGTACAACAAGCCACAACTGAGCAGATGGAAACAAATTATGAAACTTTTCAATTAATTTTTAAAGAATCCTTATAGAGTAATGGCTTTAAAGTTTATTTTTGTATTTTTTGTTCCACATAGTGTGAAGGATCCTTTTTTATTATTAATGTTATTTACTTAGAATCTGTCCATCTATGTGGTTTTGTTTTTTTTTTTTGGTCTGCGCTCAGTCATTACTGACCCTGCAGTGACTGCTTGGACGAGTCCTTTGAGTTTTCAAGGGAATCGTTTT